CTGAAGCTCTGGTACTCAAGTTCAAGGCAGAGACAGTTGTGAGAACACCACACAGACTGCCAAAACAGTCCAGAAAAATAGCAGCTGTAACAGCAAAGTGGCTCATTATTTCAATTCCTGTATTTTGTGTATCAAGGGTTTATTCTGAGGATTGTACTTGGAGTGGCAGGAGTTTGGGCTTTTTCTTTGTCACATCCTGCTCCTGTTGTATTCAGCATGTTTGTTTCCTGCAGCCAGCTGCTATCCACCCACCTGGATGGAGACAGGATTTGATGATTTGATGATTTTAAAGTTGTTTTTTACCTTGCTCCAGCCTATAGATGAAACAAGCATATGGCTTCCAGCACCTGTCCTCAGGCCTTTCCTACTGCCGTTATAGCTGTGGAAGTCCAAAATAAAAGAAGCACCCTGCAAAGTAAGTTTCTGTGATGATAGATAAAAGACTTTAGTTTAAAGAGAAGACTGGCTGTAACTTCTTTAACAGCTTAGTCTGCTCTCTCTTCTAAAATTGCTAATCTACTTTTTTTCCTCATATTTTTGGGTAGTCCCAAAAAGGATTCTGACAGCAGCCAGTGTAAATAGCTGTCAGGTAGTGTCAGCCAGGCTTCCACCTCCAAGCTACAGAATGCTTCTCTTAATTTAAATTTTGTAATTTTTTTGCAAGCAGCTGAAACTTCATACCCACTATGGATTAATTACAAGGCTGGGCCCATCAAGCTTTTGCTGTGGTAGAGTTAAAAGTTGATGCAGCTGCTGGGACCTGAACACTGCTGTCTGGCAAACAGCGGCCTCCTCTCTTGGTCATGGACTTGCAGAATTATTTGGATTGGCAGGGACCTCTAAAGGTCTTCTAGTCCAACCATGGACATTTTTTTTAATGAGATGAGATTCTTCATAGTCCCATTGAACCAGATCTTGACCATTTCCAGGGCTGGGGCATCTGTCACTTTCCTGGCCAAACAGTTCCAATGTCTCACCAGAAAAAAATTATTTTGTGCAATCTAAACCCTACACTCTTTCAGCTAAAAACCTGCCTCTTGTCCTCAGGCCTCAATAACGTGTCTCAGCCTCTCGTACAAACTGTATACATTGAAAAGAAAGCCCCACAGTAAAGTCTCCCCAAAGAGACTTCTGGACCCCAGGTTGGCCCCCAGCTCTCTCAGCCTTTCTTCACAGGACAGCTGCTCCAGCCCTGCTCTGACTGGTTTTGTGGTCCTCCTCTGGACCCACTCCAGCAGGGAGAGCTCCTGTGCTGTCAAGCACCTTGTCTGACTTGAAGGGAGTGCCATACTTTAGCCCTTAGGGTTTGTAATTAGTAAGTGAGGGGAAAAGCCAATTTTATGCTTGGGAGAGTGCTGTTAATGAATGGCCAGGTACTGGTCTAATTGACTGCAAGACCTGCCTGCCTTGGTGCTGGAGCCTGGCTGGCTATCCAAAGCCAGCCTTGCTGGACCTGCAGGGCCTGTCTGGCCATGGTGCCCTTGTTTACTGTCCCAGGAGGGGCACTGCCTGTGCTCTCTGTGTGTGCACCGCTGCGCCGAGCACACGCACAGGGAGGATGGCAGCCCCAGCAGTGCTAGGTTGGCCAATGAGGTGCTAGATCATCTCACCCTTTCTGCTGCTCAGCTGAGGCAAAGCCTCTGCTGCTGGTTGTTGGCAAACCTGGTGGTTGCTCTGCTTCCTGCCTCCCCCATATGGTGGCTTGTTTAAAAATAAGACAATTACAAGGAACAGAAGTTATAAAAGTAGGCTAACTAGAGGGGGATTTGCAGTAAGCACCTGGAAGGAAACTTGAAGTGAGGAGGGACCCAATACTGGCAGCTGCACCTGTACCATGTTCATTCTTGCTGCTGCTCTGACATGTGATCATCTTTGGGAACTGCACTGAGAGAAGACAGGATGTTCCAGATGGCCCTCCTGTCTTCTGGGGCTATTCAACTCCATATACCCTCAACAACAAAACTGGACAGTGCACCCACCATTCATTCCTGGGTGCTGCTCATCCAGTGTCCCCTGGCACACACAGTGGGATGTGATGGAAGGATGCAGATAGCAGTTTACAGACTCCAGGAAAAGGCAGCATGATGCCAGCACCTGGCTATGGTGTCCTCATACCAACCTCCTACTCTGCTGAGCCCCTCCAGGCTCAGATCCTGTCATGGCTTGCAGGCCTTGACATTTCCTGTATTCCCACTTCGAGCAAAGCTGCTTGCTTGTCACCTTGTTGCTCAGGTGGTCCCACTTTTTCCTAGCATGTGAAGCCCCTAATGTTTGAAGGGAATTTAAAAGAACTTTTGGGAAAGGCAGGTGGCTGCTTGTGGCCAAGTGGTCCTGCTTCAAAGTATGTTAATGTCATGCCCAAGCAATGTTGGATATGGAAACAGCAGAAAAGAACAAGGTAAGTCCTTTTCTACTCTATTGAAATAAATCATGGTCATTTCAAAAGGCCAGAAAAGTTACATTAAAAAGTTACTTGTTAGTTTTCTCTGTGAGCTGTTCAATTCCCAAAGCTCACAGTCCAATTCCTGTGAAGCAGCTGCTCTGAGATTTGTAGAAACCTTGAATCATCAGAATCAATTACATCAAATTTAATAAACTTCACAATAAGGACAGTTCATCAATTGCCACTGTTTTCATCTGCTATAGGGGTTCTGCAGCTGTTTTTATTTTAGAACAATCCACTACTGAATCAGAATATGCAACTGGAATGAAGCATATTAAATCAAGATGAACATTAAATGTGTAGAAAATCAAACTGTAATTTTACCAGGATGCTGAACTGGCCTGTTGTCCCAAGCCTGAAAGCACAGCACAGTCCTCTCAGTGGCGCTGGCCTGGGAGTGACTCCACAGCCCAGACTGCTGACAAGCACTGCTGGACACTTCTTTAGTAGTAGGGAATGTTGTTTGTAGCTCTGTACTTTGCATTAACCATGTCTATTTGCAGGATGGTAGCTTTCCTGCTTGGTTTTTCAACTTCACTAAATCTTTATGATGATAATGCATTGTACACAGGGATTTCAATTGCTTTTCTTTAAGCAAAATCAATTACATTTTCAATACCTCTGGCTTGTTTTTTGGTTTTTTTTCTCATTTGAAAGTATAAAAAAAATTGCATTGCAAATGATTCAATGCTTAAGTAATTTCAAAAATTATATATTACAAGAAATCATTGCTTAATATGAACTACTTGGTAGCGCAGTTTATGTGAGGAGGAGGAAAAAGAAAAAAAACTCCTTCTGTGGTTTGCCTTGTGTGAAACAGGATAAGGATTTAGAACATCATTAGTGAACCTCTGCAATGCTCTTAATTGTCTCAGTCAGGACAGGAGTTTGGTTTTTTGTGCCTTGTTTTGATTGTTTTGGTTTTTTTGAAATCCTGGAAGTCTAGAATCTGTGACCTAAAGAACAAACAAACTTTTTTTGAGCCTTTGAGAACAGTTAATTGGGCATTTTGAACTCAATACAGCCTCCTCTCTGCTTTACACCTAACTGCTTCAGCTACTAAAAAATGCTGGAGTGGATTGTCCACAAGTGTTTTAGAAACTATCCAGACAAATGTAATCCCCAGCAAATTTAGCAACCACAGACTTGCTTAAAGTTGCAAGAATCTGTTTAATGATTTTGTGGTAAACCAGCTGGGCTGAAGAACAGCCTGGTTCTCCCTCAAGTGCCTGACAGTAACATTTTCGGCACTGCAGATAATTACAGCTTGGGATGAAGAGGATTTCAGGCAAACAGTCTCTGCTACGAGTACAAACTAGCTCTCCTAAGTTTAAGTGCACCCCAGTGTAAACCATAGGTATTTCCCAGTTAATCCCCTTTGTAGATGTCTTATTTACTGCCAGAACTGCAGCCCAAAGTTGTGAATTCAGCCCCCTCTTAGTGCTCAAGAAAGTTACAGAGCGCAGAAAAGGCAGCTCACCGAGCAAGGACCTGCCACTACTAAAGAGTAGCACATACGATGGAGGGAACCAAGTTTTACCTTTAGAAAGAGTACAACACTGACATCAGATTCCAGGTCTTACATGCCTCAGGGCCCAGCTGTACTGGGGACTGTGCAAAGAGAAGATCAGACCGACATTATCCATTAGACATGAAAATCTGCTCCTAAGCATCTGAATAACTTCTCTGGCAACATCTGAAGTACTTTGACACTTCCAGGTTATGGGATGGGATGGGATGGGATAATGAACATGACAGTTTGAACAGAGAGCCTGCTGAGGGTTGAGCCTGATGAACTCTGGTCAGTCCAAGCTCACATCCACTGCTAGCATGTGGCTTTTTTAGATAGGAAGCACCAAAACCACATTACTGCTGCTCAGTGTACACATCCAACAATGTTCTGCTGCACTCAAGAAGAACTTGGCCCATTCAGTGTCCCTGTAAATTTATATAGTTATTTTCAGGTACTTAGTTACCTATTAGACCATGAAACAGAGATTAACTGAGTGTACAGGTAACTGGTTGTGAAATGCTTCACCAACGTAAAAGGAAAATCAAGGAAATTAAAAAAAAGGTTAAATATAATAAATTGTAAAGTGGGTCTTGCACAGTATACAAAGCTTGTAATCTTAACTGGCTAGTGACACATCCTCAGCGTGCACCAGGGGATGTCCAGGTTGGACATCTGGAAGAATTTCTCCACTGAAGAGGTGGTCAGGCATTGGAATGGGCTGCCCAGGAAGGCGGTGGAAGGCCCTGGAAGTGTTCAGAAGACAACCAGACATAGCACTGAGTGCTGTGGTTTCGTTGGCAGGGGAACTGTTTGTTCCGAGGCTGGACTCAGTAGTCATAGAGGCCATTTCCAACCTTTATGATTCTATGAGCCTTTTCCCCTTCTTTTGTGGGGGAGCAAAGGGACACCACATTGAGTACGAATTTTCTCACTGTCCTTCCTTCTGGATTACTATTCAGAAACAAAGGGTTCAGTACTGTCTACAAACTGGTCATCTTTTATCTTCAGATGCTTGTTACGTATCAATTCAACAGCACAACAGCATTCTAGTGGGAATAAAGTTGTGATTTTTGTCAAAATCATTTTATTAAAGAGTTAATGTCACAACAAGCTTAAAATAACACATGCTTCAGAAACAAACTGGATGAAAAATTCTCAGAACAGAAACAGAAATGGATTGAAGGCATGGCAAAGCATCCGTTCCACGAAACTTCTGCAAACAAGTGCGAATTCTGTTGGTGCAATGGAGAAAAAACTCAGAAAAAGAAGCCTCCTGGGCATGACTTCTCTTATGTTTATGTAGTGCAGTCTGTCAAATAAGTTAGAATGGAAAGGGCACAATTTCGATGGCTGCACAGACCCAAATTTACTTCTTCAATATTTAGCTCCAGCACAGGTTTTTCAACTGTGAGTACTAACAAAACAAAGTTAGTTGACATCTTAACATAGTAGTAACAGATATATTATATACATGTAGATGTTTGACTCATGCAGCCTCTTCAGTTACATGATTTTTTTTTTATTTACTCAAGAAACATTATAAAAAAATAGGTTTGCAATTTGTATTTCACTCCGGTGTTAGCTCCACATCACCCCAGGCAAAGACAGTGTTTCAGCAGACAATCTAATTTGGCAAGAAATCTGCCCTAATTCTTAACCTCATTTTTGTAAGTCCACATAGAAAATAAATGCAAACTCTTTATACAAAACAAGAAGAAATAACTGTACCTATAGAAAAGGGGATTAATTCCCTTTAGTTTTGTTATCATGGCACATACTTTATAGTTTCACAACAGCATACTAATTTTCATTTCGTTTTTTTAAACTCCAAAATAGTGTTGATGAAGGGAAGAATGTGAATTACCAGAGGCAGCTGACTCATGCATTAAGCAATTCATGTTCTTTATCAGTTTTCCCAACAGCATCAGGATTGGATAATGGGTCAAGGTCAGCAAAGAGACTGAACCAAGCAGTCAAATCTTTAGGATTCTTTGTAGATTCTGGAAAGAAAAAGAAAGAAAAAAAGAAATGTACAGACTTGTCAGCTATTTTAAAACAAAACTGACTGAATGTTTGACTGAGGTCAAACAAATGGCATGCTATTGTTTAATTTATTACCAAGGGCACTTCTGACAAGAAAACCAGAATGAGCATTTGAAAACACTATCATTGTCAGAATATAGAACTTTATTAAGAATGAGTGTCTAACATGTCTGCTATGTATTTTGTATGGCTCCTGCCATGATAAGTACAGGAACATTTTAACTAGAAATAGAAACAATGTCGCTCTGTCTAGTTTTGTTTCATGAAAGGTATTTGAGTGTGCCCCTGCATGCCTACAAACAAGGAAAAGGAAAGTGGAAGGCAAATTTTACTTGCAAGCTCTCTTACAGGACTAAATTCCTTTGCCTAAATCCAATTCATGTGACTGTTCCAACTCCCCTGTATGCAACCAACAAGGTCATTACTCATCTGGAATGAAGCTTTAATGGGAAGGTACTGGCTGGAGAGAGAAAGAGAGGGGTTATATTTGATAGGCAGTCCCCAGTACAGCTTCTAGTTTAATTCTGATGGATGTAGACAAAATGTGAATAGGGAATATACCCAACAGCAGCTGGACTACTCCACCTCTGTGTCCACATTGATATATGTATTTCACAGAGGTCTCCTGCCTGCTTTTATTCCAAATGGGCAGATGTTTAGGTTAAAGCAGTAACAACTTGGGCATAGGCCCACAAAAAAAAAAGCAAGTGGAGATGTACCTTCTTCATAGCAGCCAAACATGTATTATCCTGATAGTGAAAAAAGATATGCTCTTCTCTCAGAGAGATAATGGCACATGAAAACTTTCTTTGTGACACAAAGGATTTACAGACAAAACAGGCTCTGCCTGGCATGACACTCCTCTTGGTACTGGCCACTTTCAGAACTACAGATATTTAAATAGCTGAAGTCCATTCCTTTTGCTGGTGCCAGTCCTGTGGCTGCATAATCACACTGATTTCCAAACCAGTTTCCAAAACATCTTAACACTCTTTTTTTTTTTTTTTTTTCTCTGAGCTGAAAAATCTCAGGGGAAGGAGTACGTGTCAACCCTTTCTTCTGTATAATCAAATGTGAATGCACAGAATTGGCTACAAACTGGCAACAGAATTCAACGTAATTTTGGTTCACTTACCCACAAAATCCTAGTCAAAAATCAGCAGGCCATCTCAGTAGATGGCAGGACTATGCACTCTTGGCTCAGTTGCAACAATTAAATTAAGTTTTAAACAGATAATTACTGATGTCATATGTGTTTATACAAAAAATTTGCAATTAGGGCTCTTCTGCCTTATCAGCAGCCTGTATTTTAGCCACAATGCTAAATCTTAGAGCTTAAGAACATTGTTTATCTCAGACAAAGTGCATGCAGATGCTAATCTGTGCGAGTCTAAATTACAGCAGGTAAAAGAAACTGTAGCTTCAACTCCTTTGTTATATAGTAAATTACTCTTTTGACATGCTGTTATCACTAAGCCTACCAAAAATATACATAGAAAAATGTATCATACACCTAATCAAGGTGAAATAGAGTAATCAGGGAGCACAAGACTGAGCTGTAGCTACTACCAAAATAAGTTTTGTTACCACAGTTACTGAGAAGACATGAGACACCGTACATGATAAAAGTGCTAAAAAGGAAAAGCCAAGTAAACTGAAAAAAATACACAATTATCACCTTTCACAGGCGTCTTCTCATCACTCACATTCTGGCTGTGTGGTTTCTGTGCTGGCTGTGGCATTGATGGTGGGCTCACACTGCTGGCTGCCCATCCTAAAATTCAGTAATATAGCAGCATTACATGAGGAGGTACTTTGTTAACTCCACCACCCACCCCAGTGTCTGGCAGCATCAGAAGAGGAGCAGAGTTTATGGCCATTCATACCTGTCCGTGTACACACAAAGTCAGCAGTCAGACCTGCACAGGAGCAACACCCTTGACGAGAGAGTATCTCTAGATCTCTTTTACCAACTTCAGGCAACTACACTTATTTCAAATCTTTCATCTGGCTAGAAAATATTTTTGTTTTTCTTATTGAATCACAGTTAATACTCATTCAGAGAAAAGCCAGTTCAGTGATCAAGTCCAACACAGCTGTAGGGAAAAGAATCACTTACATTTGGGTGGAAATACCACACATAATAAATATTTTTTCCAAGTCCAAAGGCTTTCATTTCATCCATTGTTTCAGACAAAACCTTATTTAGAGACCCTAGATTTTTTAGTTAATTTTGAAGTAATTCTGGAAAAAAAAGATAATTTTTTTTTTTCTTCAGCCAAACACTAAAAAATTAAATTCAAGATTAATTACTTCAAGTTAATTTAAAACTACATTTTAATGGACTATTTATTTTTTCTCTTTATTTGAAAGGAGAGTTTTAGCAAGAAGAGAGCAACTATGCAGGAAAAAGTGAAATAATTTTTTTGTTCATATTCTATATTTTGTGCATATTCTATATCCACAAAAGAGTAATGATAAATACAGTTAGTAAGGCCAAATGAACAGGCTGGCAAAATTAACTAGGGGTAATAAACTGCAGAAACGTATTAGGAAAAAAGCAAAAATTTTGAACCTTGCTTAAGATATTTAAATTCATGTGCTTTATTACATTTAGAGGACTGAAGATAGTGTTTCTAATTTAATTAATATGTCCTTTAAGTTTGGCCTGGTCCGTTATCCATCTAATTTGGCAGTATCATACACAGGATGCTCATCTATGCACCTAGCTACCATTTTGTTATTCAGTCTCTTTTTTTGTACAAGTGCATGCTTTCACATCCTTTTTTACTCTTTTTGTCCGTCCTCCCCTTACTTTCTGTTCTTTTGGGAACCCTGTCTGATACTGGCACCAAGCATTCTGACAGGTAATGCAACAACCACATCAGTCACATCAACCCTTTCTCTCTCAGTAGATTATTCTCATCACTTTCTAATCTTAGCTTGCCTATAAAAGGTCTAAAGCCCAAGCTGTGTTATAAAAAGAGGCAAGAAGGGTTTTTCTGTAAAATCACATGAATTAGGAAGGAAATTTAAAGCCACAAACATCCTCTGTTATCTTTCTCTAAGGAAACTAACCAAAAACATCTTCAAAATCTGGATGCAGATTGCTCACATGTATTTGCTCTAGACAAAGGTGATAAAGGCTTGTGAGCCAGCTTCTGCCTTCTGAAAGTGAGGTTTTAGACTTTAATCTTTCAAATAAGCAAATCTGAATGATAATAATGGAAAGCATGGCATTACCCCTTCAGAATGACATACCTTTCCAGATGTTTTCTCTGCTTGTGTTACAAACAAGAATGGCCTGAGATCAATATACACAACTACAGTAGACTGTGATGCTTTAGTGTGCTTGGAGATGCATTGGGAGAAAGTGTTTGATATGGCAGTGAATTACAACAGGTAAATTCAGCTGCTTAAACAAAGGGGACCAAATCCTAATCTGATAGAAATGAATGGGAGCTGTCCCAGAAACTTTCTGTGCAAGTTCCAGTGACTTCAGAAAAATCAGGAACTGGCTCCTGGCAACACCATTGATGTTCCTGTACAATGGTGTGCTTGGCAGGTCAGGGAGCAAACCACTTCAGACCAGTGAACTCCTTCAGAGCCCTCCCTCTTTTTGAGTCCCTGGACTAAGGCCTGTTGGGCAGCACAGCCATGCAAGATGCTGTGGCCTGGATGTCATTTAATGAAATGCAGGCAGCTCACTTAGAAAACAAGAAGACCCTAACAATAGCAACAAAAATCTAACCAAGTACACTCCAGAAAATATGTGATGCTGTCATAATGAAATTACTGATTTATGAAGGTACTGGGAAAGACTGACACAGAATTTGTATGAAATACTTTAATGAATTAAATTTTTAGTGAGCTGCAGAGAACAACTTTGCCTTTTGAAAGCAAACCGCAGGCTATCAGTTTGAAAGTAGTTGTTGGCCCAAAGCCTGTTTTGGTTTGCCTGTTCACAGGATGGCTTTGTTACGTAGCCAGACAAAAGGTCATTGCCAAGACAGCAAGGAAACCAAACAGCCTGCTGTTCAGCAAGCATCTTCACCAACATTGCAATGATTAAATTTAGAAAAGGAAATGGTGAGCTGTGCCTTTTCTTATGAACTAGAATATATGCACACGTAGGGAAGATAAAAAGGAGCCCTTAATGGTACGGATGAGTAAGTAAATGAGGCCATAAACATCACGAAAAGAGAAAGCCAATGCTCCCTCTGAAAAAGCAGAAAGGCTTCAGTTGCTGTATCTGGAGGAGAATCTGAAAGATATATTGGGAGCATGCTTTGTTTCTATTATATATACACACACATTTATATGTATTTTAAACCAGCACCTGGTAGCCCCATAGCAATTCAGAGTCCCATTGTGCTGGATCCTGCCTATAAATACAGCCAGAGAAAACTCTGAGCTGGGAATTCCTGACTGTAACACTTTATAACCTGCATAGCATTGTGCCTGTTTTACAGATTAAGATCTGAGGCAGAGAGAAAACAAAGCCCCAAAGATTTATGAGTGTGCTTAACGTAAAATAAGTAAGTAATCCCACTGAAGTTAATAGAAAAGTTAATGTGCTTAAAGTTAAGCATGTGAGTTTTAAGAATCTTTATGGTCTTAAGGCCAAATTCACACAGGAAGTATGCAACATTGAGGCTACAGTGTAGCACCTCACACTGAATAATTATTAAGCAATCCTACCAAGTTAGGGAAATAAACAAAGGAGATGTATCGCAAGTCCTCAGTAAAAATATAATGCATATATTCTAATATTTCCAACTTGTATGTCTGGATATGATTACACTCCAGTTAGTATTACAAAAAAAAAAAATCTCTCTTCCCATATTTAATGATAAGATCAAATTCTGAAAGAAAAGTTGTGAAGTGAAATGAAATGTAGTTTAAGATTAAAGCTGAATTTTTACGAGATATAAAATGGACCAAATTTAATCTTCTGTTAAAAAATAGGAAACAAAAAAACTTGGAAATATTTAGAAAGATAAAACACTTAGAAAGAAACAAAAGAAAGTGTTTCTAAAGAAACACTATAGAAAGAAGCAAAACACTTAGAAAGATTATTTTCAGATACAATCACTCAGCTGACTAACCCTGACTTTTCAAGTGCCGGTACATCAATTACCATAATCTTCTGCCAAAACCTTGGAAACCCATTTGAAAACATCCAAATGTTTTTGTTTTTTTTTTTTTTTTTTTTTTTTTTTTTTTTTTTTTTTTTTTTTTTTTTTTTTTTTTTTTTTTTTTTTTTTTTTTTTTTTTTTTACTCAAAAAGATTTTGGAATACCATGTTGACTGGAATGGATTTTCCATTTCTACTATTCCTTGAATGCAACATTACTGAATTCTGATTCTGAAGTCTCTAAACTGCACCCAAGGCCAGTGCAAATGAAAGCTAACAGCCGCATCAGAAAGGATGCACAACTCTGTTTGCTACTTATACCTAAACAATATTTTCCTTTAAAAACATATTTACATTAAAAAATGGAAATTGCACTGAAATGTAAAATATATTTAAAAACATGTAAAGCTGAGGAAAAAAATCAATCTCACCATATTTCTGTTGCTATTTTTAGTAATTTTCTTAAAATCATGGACCTTATAAAAATACATCTAAACCTGTGCATCATTACAACTGTCATTCTCCCATTTTTCATTTTTCATAAATGCTGAAGCCAATGAACTGAGGTATCTTGCTTTAGGGGTGCTAGTAGTAACTGTGTTCATTATAAAGTAAGTCTGACTTTCTTATTCCTGACAAAAATTTACATCATGTATGACTTAGGACTCTTCCAGGGTTCTAAGAAATAGTTTTAAGATAGGATCAGCCTGCTACTGTTTCCTATATTGCTCTTCCCCAAGTGAGATTTAAATTACTTGGGACAGAGCCCAAAAAGGCAAGGTCCCCTCCCAGCTTGCAAAGCCCTACAGAAGACCCAGCCAGACTGCAAGGAGCACAGACTGCAAGGTGCTGTTGGCTGTTTATCACCAGCCTGCCTTCCTCCCTCTCTTCCTTCCTCAAGGCCAAAGCAGCAGCAGGAAAGCTCTACCCTAGTTCCCCTCTTCTCTTTTCCCCAGCAGTAGCCTGGAAAAGCCAAGAGAATTAACTGCACAGAAGAAAGTGGAGAGAAAGAGTTGCATCAGTAACCAGCCTGCAAGAGACATCCACCTAGATGGTTGCTAGGATGAGATAATCCATTCTACTTGACCCATATCCCTACATCCAGTGTATAGGATTCTTGGGAAAAAAAAAAAAATGCAACAGATTTTCACTACATGGTTTAAAAATAGTATCCCCAGACAAAATACAGTAATTATTTTTGGTTCCTTGGCCCCTTAACAGAGATAGCAGTTGTGATTAAATCAGTAAAACCCACTCAAACATTTTCTGTTTCAGGAAAAAAAAAGATCTCAAAGTTCTACAGAACATTTCAAGAAATTAAACAAAAACATTCAAGACACTAATCTTGACTTTAGGTTTTGGGTACTTCTTTCAAACACTGTATGAGCAGGGCTAAAAAACAAATAAGTTACTTGTGTTTTTTCTCCAGGCCATCCTCTGCTTTAATTTCAGGCACAATTTCTGCAGCCATGGCACAATAAAAACTTTCATCACACTTCGACATACTAGAAAACCATACTCTAAACCCTAACTCCAACATACTGACAGAACAAGATGAGCTCTCACCATGTAAGGATGACTGCAAATCATTCATGTTTTTGTCTAGCAGCTGTGAGGGTAAGTAGCCTGATGGTGCTGGTACTGCAGACGATGAAGTGCTCTCCCCATCTCTAGCTGCAGGGTTCATGGTGAGATCAGCAGCCTGTCCAAAAACAGCTGTCCACTCTTTGCTGAATTCCCCCTCCTCCAGGGAGGAGGCGTTGAGGATCTCGTTTAATAATATCATGTCATCCTTATCACCAAGTTCTGGCTCCAAGGACCTCACAAACTTTTCCTTTGAAGCTGTCTCAGAACAAGAGAGTCAAGATAAATCATTTTTCTTAGACCAAGTAAACAAGGAACTTTTTAAAACATACCAAATCTAGGCTAGGTATGTTAAGTGAGATGGAGTATTTTTTCATGAATATTTATTCTCTTTTTTTAGACTCAATTCTCTTGGACATCTGGGTTTATACCTTATGCAACAAATAATTCCTTCATTATCTTAGATGACCTCACTGCTGTTAAGACTTGCTTCTCATTAAAAATAATAGAACAAATATGCTTTAAAATCTATTAAACACAAAAATCATTACACAGTCTAATATTTAAATAATTGGAAAATAGTACTTCTATGTTGCTTCTTGAAACATTATATGAAAGTCTCAAAAAAAACCCAGATAGGTATAAACTAAAAAAAAGTAAGACTTGGGGATTTAAGAACTCCCTTATGACTTTCTGAACAATGCTTGAATTACTGGGGCATTTCCCCATAAAAAAAAGATTAGTCTATCACACAGAGTTAGATTTCTATGCTGACCATTGCTGTAGTATTTTTTTTCTTCTCATAAGCTGCTGAGAAATAATAGTGGCTCACTTTCCTTCTGATTCCCTGTGCAAGTTTTTCCAGCACCAGAACTGAAGCTGAAGAAGCTCTTACATCACTTGAGCCACTGCTACTTAAAACAATTTTTTTCCTATTCTAGAAATGTTAAATAGTTATATAAAATACATGAAACTGGTAACCAGGATCATTATCCTTTCCCAGAACATTCTGAGAGTTAAAGAACTATCAAGGACCCCAAGTGTTATTTTACTTGGAAGCATTTGGAGCTCCACTGTGGAAGTCTGCAGATGACACAAATGGTGGTTAACAAAGCTAATAATGTTACATTCCTGAAATCCAGATCAGTTTATCTTAATTATGCCTGTTTCAAACTTGTGGTAAGGCACAGAAGCAACTTCAGTTTTCCAAAGTTTCGGTAGATCAGCTGAACTCTCCAATTTGGATTCAACTTACAAAATGCTTTTAACCCTTTTGGTTTGGGATAAAAGATTGACAGTATAAAGTGTTTGCAACAGGCCATTTTACTGAAACTCAACAGCCTTCTCAGAAAAGTTTCCTGGTAACAGCTGTAATAATTTATAATTAAATGGTGGAAGTTGAGTCAGAGGAGGAAAAAAAAGCACAAAACTGTGTTTTAGAATAGGCTCATGCGTCAGCGCACACACCTACGAACTAAGAAACAAATAAACCAACACAAATTAAAATGATTTTATTCATTACTGAAGTCAGCTGTGAGATTCAACTCCTTTCTAACTCACTATTTTGATATACCTCTGTATTCCCTGTCAGGGTCTAAAAATTAGAAATAGAAACATTAGAAACACATCAATTCTCCTGATGTTCTCCCTAGACTATAACTAAAATACCACAGAAAACAATTTGTTCTTATGAATTTTCAGGCTGTTTCCCATCTTCAGATAAAGAGCAAAGAATATTAACATTGTCTAAGCACCTCCAATTCCCCATTATTCAGCAGGTAAGACAGAGGGGTAAATCCTCCCATAGGGAAAGACACCTGCTATTTCAAAGGCCCTTAAGAACTCTGAGCTCTATGGGGCATCACCACTTCAAAGCTGCTCTCAGGAAGCCCCTTCATGGACTTGTAGGGGGAGATGAAGAGATGCATTTGTAGCAGACCTGCTACGACACAGCATCAACACCACACACAACCACAAGTGCCCTGAACGGAACAGATGCAGCAGCACAGCTCGGAGCCAAGCTCTGCTTCATTTGCGGAACCACTGCAGGAGCCCCATCTTGACTTTAGGAGCAAGTACAATGTAAAGCTTTACATGTGAAGAGCAGTCAGGTCTTGCTGCAAGGGTGTACAGCCACCAGAAATCTGAGGAGTGACACATTTTGTGGCTCAGCTATCTTCCTGATCTTCCTGTGGGGACTGTGCAGCCATGGCAGGGCAGGATAGGGTGTGTTCAGGCTCAGGGTGCTGCTCTGAGTAAGCAGGAGCCACAGCAGGTTTTACTCCTGTTTGCAGTAAAGGTTATCTATAAACCAGCCTTGCTTACCGAGATATTACTCATGTGGTATCTCTGCTAGATTACTAAAATGATAGGGACTTTCTCACTTTACCCATAAATCTTCTATTACTTCTTTTTCTGTTTCTGTTTTCACTGCCTATTTTCAGTCAAAATCCTTTTTTCTGTTTGCACATGCTGCCCCAACCTTAAAAATGCCCATGAAAAAAATTCAAACTTTCCATTAAAACACTGAAAGAACAATCTGACTATATCCTTTCTGTTCTGTTTGAACAAGCCTCTAGCAATGCTCACAATTCCACTGTAAACTTACCTCATTTTGTTGCTATTAAAAAAAAGGGAAGAGAAACTAAAAATATTTACGACAGTACATGACTGGCAACACATGATAAAGACTTCCTTCTGAAACACAAATATAAGTGTATCTCTACCTATACTGCTTCACTTAAAATAGTACAACATTCATTAGCCTAAAGCTAGCTAATGTGTAAAATTAGGACAAATGGCTGATACTGTAACACTGCCACAGCAACCTAGCCAATGCAGACACTCCACGGCAGTTTTTGCATTAATTTAACTGTTTAAGTAAAGAAAAAAGTGTTCTAAGTGACAGAGCTAAGCTTGTATGAGCAATAATTGTATGTATTATCTGTATCTCCACTAGGAAGGCCCAACAAGGAACAGAACTGAGGAAGAAAACCAGAAGAAAAAAAAATGCCACTAGAAGACATGCACCTATCTTTTTTATTAACCACAGAAAAGAAGTCATTGTTACCTTATCTATTCATAGATTAGGGCTGCTTCTGCAGACAGCTGAGGAACTTCCCTGATGCCCGCCTTCATGGGTGATTTTCCACATGGATAATTTCCCCCCCTGTGCAAGACACTGCCCATGGCAAATCCAAACTCAAGGTGTTTGCAAATGTCCTTACCTACCATGAAGGCAGTGTTTTAAATACCCCAAATGCTCTCAGTCTGACTGACTAAACCACACAAATGGATTTTCTTTCTTTGCTTAATTTGCTTTTTGAATTGTCACAATTGTTTTGGTTGTTGAAGTTTTTTTTTTACTCATTCTTCTGACATGTATGAGTGAAACTGGAAAATTATAGACAGCACTCTAACTTCTTATGAAAGCTTATAAAACTTTAACCCAGATATTTCATATGTTATCTGGTAAAAGGGCATATCCCCTTGAGCTGCTAGGGATCTCACAGAAGTATAAGGACAGCACAGTGGATTTAATTAACTCTCTATCTGAAAGAAGTCACCAGTTCTTACAAGGTTTTAAGATGCCTAGATGATTTGTTTCTGATATGTACATTTTTAACACAAAATCTTGTGGTTACTAGTGTATTGCCAAGAGTTGTAGCACAACAACTAGAAAACCCAAATGAAAAAGTTGTGAAATGTTATAGGAGGGATAAGGTTTACAATGGAGCCTACTTCAGTTCAGCAAATAGGATACAGACTAGTCTACCTAATCTTGAATTACTGGCATAAACATTTTATCCCCACTAAGGTTTACTTCATATTGTAACATTAGGAATAGTGTCTCTGCTGGATTTCTTTTAACACTATTTAAATACTGCAGCTGAATAATTTAATTCCACCTTTCACACTGTGAAAGAAATTAAGATCTAAAATTAAAAGTATACTTGGCTACTATGATTGAAATAGATGGAACAGATATGCACAATCATATCATACCATTTTCTTCAGGTTGCAGGTCTAATAACTCATCTATAGCACCTAAAAATTAAAAAAAGAACAAATACAGAAAAAAGTCACAAAGGAAGATCTGCAGTACACTGACAATCAGTATGTAAACATATAAAGATAACTTTCTGAAGTGTCTTCACCTGAGTTCTGCTCGTGGTTACAATGTCCTTGTAAAGTGGAGATGACATCCTTGCCATCATCAGCTGTAACTGAGATCCATAAACATGTCAAATTGCACTTGGCAGGAGACCATGCTTATAAACAACACCACTATATGATCAACATGCAGTGGTTGTTGGGATTCACATTTTAAATGAGTCATGTTTAAAATGAGCCTGGTCACAATGAATGAAAGATCCAAGGCACAAGCAATTAAAAATGAGGCAAATTGCTGAATAACAACCTGAGAGAGATCTTCCTTTGAGTCTCTGCCTGCTACACTAGCCTTTCCAGGCTGAGTGTACCCAACCAAGGCAACTACAAAAATCAGTCCTCCAGAAGCAGAGAAATTTATTTTAGAAGCTTGTACTTAGGCCAGGAGAGTGCAAAACAGTGGTGGGATCTTGTCACTCTCTTAACTGCCTTCCTTACAATGTGCTCTTCCTCGTGACACAATCTCTGGGAACAGGGAGAAGGAGCCTTCACCCAACGTACCCCAACTCGAGATATCAGTAACAGCATCTCCTCTGCAGGGAAATAAATAGACTAAGACCAACAGGGAGTAAAATGTAGAGCTGAGAGTTATAGGCTATTAGAGGTGACAAAACATGGCTTAAATTCTCAGCAAGTTTCTTAGATGACACATAGAGTCAAAACAATCATCTAGATTCTGTTAATCAGTGAATAGAAAGATACCTCCATCAGTGATTAACCCCATTTAAGACGTGGCAAAACATGAGGGATGACTTACTGCTGAATATGCCATTTTCTCCCTTATTAACTGTTGAAATCTAGCTCCTAGACAACAAAGTCTGTAGCTCTAAGGGCAAAGGAAGGGTTTGGCCACAGTATTGCCAGAACTGGAAGGTCCATCTACTGGAAGCCTCACACAAGAGGCTGGAAAGGTGAAATAGAATTCTCTATTATGAAATAAAAACTGAATCCCAAACTCTTTGAAGAGAATTGCCAATCCTTTCCAAGAGAAGCTTCAAGGTGTGATCAGAACTAAAGGAAACAGAACAGCTTGCTGTTTGTATCATTATCTTCATAAAGCTTTGCTAGGACAGAAATGTGCTCCTAGCACAAGAATCAGCTGGTCATTTAAGAACCCATGAGCACGTCTGATTACACTTTATATAGACAGCACAGGGATAGAAACTCATGAACAAATATACATACTTTCATAAAAGCACAATGCACAAAGCTAAAGGGGAAAATCCTAACCCTAAACTGTCTGGCAGAGGGGAAAAGAAAATCAGAAAGAGAAGTTCATGACATGTGGGATATGGATGGCCACAATTCTGTAATGAAAAGGGCTTAACTGTTGCCCAAAGCCTGCCTTAGGTTGAGTGGTAAACATGAGGGACCCAATCTTAAAGGCTTCTGTAGCTTAGTAAGGGAAAATGCAAAGCAAACAATAAAAAAAATGAAATCAAAGTAGTTGGTGAGGAGAGCTAAGAAGCAACATAGCTCCCTCACAAGAAGCACTGCATCTGTATGATTTTAGAATTTACAGGGTAATTTAAGAAAAAAAAAAACCTCAGCAATGGCACAGACCTGTTGGTATATGAAGAGAAAAATTTAGAAGACCAGTTAAAAATATTTCAAAACACTTCCACTCCTTTTAGAGGTGATGAAGAAAGAGACAGAACAAGGTATTATATATTATGATGAAATATTTTACAGTCTATAAGAAACTGAGATTCTACAAAATATCTGCTAAGAAAATATAAGTCAGATTTTGTACCCATATATATTAGACTATCTTGACAAAGATATATCTGATCTAATTAATTGCAAAATTTTCAAAACACTGAGAAAGTCCTAATAGTGTCTCCCTATTACAAAAAAACCCCACCCAAATGACAAGAAGTGACTCAAGTTACTATGGGCTGGTAGATCACCATTACTCCCAGTTAAAAGACTAATGGAAGGCCATTCAGTATGGCATCCAGCAAAATACTGTGAACATAATAAATGATCCTCTAATAATTTACTGTTGATTTTATGGAAAGCAGGCCTAGTTGAAAAAAAAACCAGCTAATTTAATTCTTCAATAAAACCATGAGCTTTTTTCAGCAAAGATACTTGTTTAGAAACAACTTGACTTTGCACTGCACAGCCTTCCAGCTGAAAAGTAAGCACTGCATAACATCTACAACGAACATATTGAATAGATTAGGAATGTGACAACTAACAGATGTCAAAAACATGTTGTTAGGAGAAGTAATTGCAAAGCAGAAGTGTTTCTAGTTTAGTTCTGCAAGGTTTACTGTTTTATCCATTGCTAGTCAATGGCTTTAGCAGTCATCTGGAAATAAACACAAAATCACTCTAGAAAAAAGATGTGCAAACAACTAGCAGACTACTAGAGGTGGTCAGTCAGTCCACTTATTTGGTTTCTGCAGTCAGAGCTGGGAGAATTCAATACCACCAAGATGTAAGTTACATCTCCAGGACTAAGGAATATAAGCCATGCTGTAGAGAAAGGAGAAATGAATCCTGGAAAGCTATGACTAAAAGGAACTGAGCCTTGGTAAATAATGCATTCAGACACGAGCTTCAAACTTGATGTTGCAGCAAAATGGGATGTTCTTCTTGGATATAGAAACAGTAATGTGATTCTACCTTCTAGAAACATGACAGGCGAGAACAACATCAGAAATCTCTTGTCCAGCTACATATTTCATATTTGAAAAGGGATCTTGTAAAGTGGAGTGAAAACAAAAACTTCAAAAATAAAGATGAGATGATGAGTTCAAGATATCAATATGATCAACCCATTGAAATAAAGATTTAAGAGTAGTCTTGACTTTCATGTAATACCTTACAAGTATCTTAATGAAGGATAACATATAACATATTAAAGTTACTCTTCATAAATTTAGTAGAAAAAGTTAGATCATCTTGAAGAATTCCACAGATAAAGATTCCACTTTTTAAAGTAGTTCACCACCCTCACTGCAAGCATTTGCTTCTTAGTATGTACTCAGAATTTCCCTTTCTATTACTTGTATATGTTCCCTCCTTTCATTCTCAGTGCACTTCCAACTGGAGCCTGGCTGTGTCACTGGGTAATAGCAACACATAAGGTCATTGGCAGCAGCTGCGTATGATCTTGCCTGGCTTTTAAGCAGAAGTTCCACTGAATTCATCAAGTTTTTCACAGACTACAGTTTAGTGACTGGAACAAACTAGTAAGCTAAATGGCACACTTCCCTTGTCTCACTTACTAACTTGCAGATCCCTTTCTTGAAGGGTACATGCCCCATGTGAGAATTCAGCTTTGGAACACAAGCAATTTGACTTGTCTGAGATTGACTGAATGAAATGAAGTGGGATGTAATATGTAAGAGATTAACAAATTCTCCTGGCCTTTGGTTTTATGCATTTGTAGGGATTTGCTGGGTGAAGCTGATACAGGAAATAAACCAAACAAAAAAGCCCAAGTATTACAGCACTTATGGAGTTATGATAACATGAAATATAATACCTGAATAGTTCGATTCCTTGGTATGGCTCTCGTCATCTAATGAAATCAACCTTAATTTGAAGGAATAAGAAAAAAATTGGGAAAATAATTCCAATGCTCTAAAATAACAATACATTTTCCTCTTTTTTGTCAAATCATTACAGATTCATATCAATAACAAATAAACTGTAATAACAGATGGACTCTTGCATTTGCTGGTCTGTTGTTACCTTGTATTGTTGCATTGGCAGGTCTGTTGAAAATTAAAATTAGATTGAACTAGTAAATCCTATCAGCTTCCATTTTTAGTCTGACTCAACCTCTACTGAAAAGTCTTGTGTATTCTGTGTTTGCACATTTGGTCTTTCATAGCTATCACAAAGGAGCTACAACTGTTCCCCAGTCCCCTCCCCCTCCTTCTCCCCAAAAAAGGCAACCAACCACTTTGTGCTTCTCTTTTTAACAGCAACTAATTAAAAATCAACACTCAGGACAGTTTTGCCCCATGTCAGCAGATTTCTAAAATAACAGATCAGCAGCATTGATGAAAAAAGCTCTCAACAGGGACAAATAAAAGGTGCAGTTTACATGCAATTCTTATACAAAGGTGATCTCTTCAATGCAGAATACACACTTTCCAACTGCTATTACTTTGTGTAAAGCCATTCAAGGAGTAGGAACAGAAGCAGCCACACGGCTGATGTGGTGGTGAAAAGGACTGTGTGGGCACATTCCTCCCACCCTCTAGTGACAGGACAGAAGAAACCTCCCCTGCTCTTGGGGGTAGGACTGTGGTAGAGGAAAATTAGGTTCAGGCCAAATTCTAGTATAATGAATGTTTAATGTGAATGGGAAATTCATGAGGATTTAAAAAGCTTTGTCATGTGTAATTCTTCTTGAATCTTAGGTGTTTGTTTGTTATGGTTCTAGACAGCAAAAGGGTGACATATTTTGTTCCTCCCTTTTATGCCAGACAAGGACAAAGATAATCCATAAACACAAGTACAACCATGACATGGCATCTGATGCATTTCCTGGTAGGTGCCAACGCACACATCTTGCATAAATCAGACATTTATTCTAGAACTTTATATTCAACACTGAGGAGAGAGCTATTTATTAAATTCTATTACTATCATGTGAGATGACACAGATGGAAGTAAGTGCTGTGGAAACAACCACCTACCAAATGGTACTTGGTCAAGTCCTTTCTAATATCAACAGCACCAAATCTGACCAATTTATAAAGTGGTATTGGTCAGTGGCTCTGAATCTGAACCAGAGAAATGACTGAAAACCTGAACTCCTTAAAAATCCATTATAATAAATAGAAAAGCAAAATCCACTAATCAGTCAAGCTGTTCTCTGCTTTTTGACAACTGATCCTTTGCTGGGTGCTTCATTTAAGCATAGATAGTCAAAACAACAGGTGGGAGCAGGACTGTATCAACATTGCATCTCCTGGCAACCAAATCCTGACGGTCAGGTAGGGAGGGATCACATCTCTCTCCTGTTCTCCTCTCCCCACAGCAGCCCATTCATAAGTCTCTCTCAGCTCAGAGCTACAGGTAACTCAAAACTTGACAGCATCAGCTCACTTAGATGTACTTTATACTAAGTACCTACTGCTTCATTGGATTACTAACTGATGCTGTATACATTACAAAAACTAATTGCTACTCAGAGCAATCAGTAATCTATATCCTATTTCCAGGTGAAAGGAGATGCTGCTGAAAGGAGAAATACAATGCTCATATATCTTCTCCCATGTATAGCTGTTTACCATTTCTTTTAATAAAGAAAAAAATGAAGCAAAAGCTGAAAAAAAAGGAAAGCTGAAAAACTCATATGGTCCTTTTTAAAGCTCTTAATTTCACTGTAAATTTCATTAGTTTTGATGTACACGTGACAACATTTCAGGAATTTTTCTACTGAGGTAACCAGTAGAATTAGACTAGCTGTGTCTGCATCTCTATTTATGTTAGGTGACTTTAGCAACCAGGAAGCAGATTACAGACAAAAATACTTATTATTTTGATATGCAGGATATATGACTTACTGACTCTGCTGATCTTCCACTGAATTGGCGCTCTCAATCTGCTGGTTCTCCTTTTCTGCTTTTTCTGTTAGTTTATTCACAGGATCTTGCAAGCTCTAGATCATAATCATAATATAAATATAAAGAAGAAAACCAATTAGAATCAGGGAAGCTAAGGAGTGTCATTTGAGACCAAATCTGATTCTAGTACCAAGAGAAATCAAGCAAGAATGGTTTTATACCATATCAAAACAGCATCTGACTCAAGCAGAATTAAAAGTGTTAGAAGATACTAATTCAAATTCAGTCTGTGAACACACTTTATGTAAGAAGGTGACATGTGGCAACTTCTAGAGTCATGTTCTGTTTCTAATATTTCTAGGTGATTACTTCTAGGTAAATCTTGCCAATATTTTAAAGTAAATCTATCTATACCATGTGCAAAGCAGGCCAGATGGCATATTTCTTTGCTATTTTGGGGATTTGCTTATTTTTTCCTTCTTTTCCTTTTTTTTATGATGGAAAACAAATTCTTTACATCTGTTTGTTGCTCATATACTGCTTCTTTTCTTATTTATTCTCTTTTTCCCCTCCACAATTGTTTACACAAACTTGGCAACTCCAGCTGTGGCAGGAAGATATTGATTGTATTCTGAATCTGAAAACAAGGGTTAAGATCTTGGATGATAGTTGATGAAGGCCAGGTGTGGTATTATGAAACCCTACTGTCCTTTTGCAGTCTGAAAGGCTGTGCTGCAAGATAACGTGCAGATTCACAGTCAGCATTTTTATTACCAAAATTTGGAGATGAGAGTAAGCTAACACAAGCATTATAGACTGACTAGGAAGTGATAAATATACTACTTGTTGTCACTCTTATGTATCAATTAGAAATTCTGTCTAAAAAATTAAATAAAGGAACACAGTAATTAGGTAAAGCAGATGTTAGCAATGTAAATATTTCCATTTCTCTCAAACAGTTTTGCTGTGAAGGTGAAAAAAAATTCCTCTTTCTAAAGTCCAACTCAGTTTCTGAAAAATTAAACCATGCTACATGTGAATAGTCTTGACACCCTCCCGCCGCCCCCCCCAGGGTAAAACAGAGAAGTCACCTTCTATACAAACTTAAAAGCCACAAAAATATAGTGGTTTTGCATCTGGAATTTGAAAAAAACATAAATGTGTTTCATGAGAAAAGTAAAACGAAAAACCACAGCCTAATTGACTGAATAAAAGTTAGGGTGCCCAGCCCATCTGTTACAACAAAAGCATTCCCAGACATGCTGCGGGTCTTGTTTCCACTGCCCTGTTAACCAGAATAGAGGAGTTCCCAGAAGGAGCATTCCAGTTTCTGTTTGGTTCAGTATTTGTCTGTATAAGGAATCTACATTTCAGGATTTTAGAAGCTAAGTTTCTAGATTTGTAATATGCTGCAGGTTTTTTTTTTTTTTCCTCTCTCAATAAATTAATTCTACACGGAACTGCTGATTAATTTGTCATAAGCAGCCTCAGCACTGCAGACATGGTCAAAAGATGAAAGCCACAAAACCAGTAAAAATTAAAAAAAAAAAGCCTTAAAGAAATGAACCTTATTCTGTGGTTTTCACTTTTTTATTTGACACTGTTCCTACCTAGAATCACATCTAAGTGTACTTCTTGGATGCTGAATAAGGACAATAGCCAGTTCAGCTAGATAACCTATGTTTGAATGTCACCCTTTACCTGAATATGTACTGGGTATTGATTAGACTGCACCTCTTGTGCTATTAAAATAGATGAGAAATATTCCATTGACTCTAAGAAGTCCTGGACTGGAGTTCAAGAACAAATATCAACTATAATTGCACAAAAGTGCAGGGTAGAGAAAGAAAGCAGCTCTGCATTATGGCGACTGTGCTGCTCTGGTCACTTGAACCACCTGGATATTTTCACAACAGGACATACAGCCCACTGAATCAGGAGATGATGGTCAAACAATTGTGGTGCTCTGCCTACCACCAAGTATAGCACCTCAGAGCTTGCTCCAAAAGGGTTGTAAAGGTTTTGGACAAAAACCAGAATTACTTTAACCACTGCCTAGCTATACAAGTTAAAGAAAATTATTAGAAGTAAAGAAGTAAAGTCTCCATATTCACAAAAAAAAAAAAACCCGGGAAATAAGCATCCTTCTTTAAAGACCTATATTTTAAGAAGCTTCCTTCATCAGTGTTTCAGGAAATCTGTAATTAAAGGACTGTGATCAAACCACGGAAACAGCATATAGAAAGGGAGTTCACAAGTACCTTGGGAAGGAAACAGTATGATAATAATGGCAGTTACTATTTCCTGTATCAGAAAAATAAACATAGCTCTGAAATACAGCTTTGGTTTCAATGGTGATTATGATAAAAATTGTCAAAAATCAGAAGCTGTATTTTGATGCAGTAATTCCATGTAACAACTTATTCAGACTCAAATCAGATACCAAATAATGAAATTACTTTCCTCACCCATGCCTCCCTCTACTCCGCATTCTGAGGTTCACAACAAACAGGTATCTTTTCAAAAAGATTTTTAAAAGCTAGAGAATGTGTAAGAAATGAAACTGAATGCTAAAAAAGCCAGTCAACAATTTTGTAAACATGAACCCATAGTAGTGTGATCACTACTGCCAGCAGGCATAGAAATAAAACCATGACATTCTCTTAATTGCTTTAGATTACACTAGAAGAAAGGGAAGAAGCCTCACCATCTAGAAAGTGCAGGGATTAAACAGAGTTATGACAACACAAACTGACTTCAGACCAAAGTGAGAGCATTTCATCTGGACATAGCCCTGATTTGGCTGCTCAGAGCACACAGGTGTGTAACTTCACAGCATTCTTCTGGCTGCTCTTGTGGGCTAGAATGGGTTTTATTGTGAGCTACACCACATTGTGGCTTGAAGTGGGATCCTTGCATATTTAGAAAATTGTCTTTCTATCTTCTTAGATCTCTCTTTTACTACAGAAAATAGAGTAACACCTTACACACTAGCAGAGCAAGTTCACAATCATTCAATCTGCCTGATCTATCATTTCCTAACACCAAAAGTCACCCAGTGATATTTCACCTGCTCCGAGGACTTAGACTACGTATCCAAGCCAGCAAGGGATCCTTCACTGCAGAGTTAACTCTGGCTCCAGCTCAGGCTCCATTTCTGACTGCTACTCACTCACTAAATTCCTTCACCTGCATCTGGGCTGCTTTCAAGTCAAGCCAAGATCATCTGGATTGCACATAAAATCTGCCCTCCGCAGTTAACTCAGCAGTGTTGACATTGCACTCAGCTCACCCACAGCTCTTCCCAAGTGCCTTGGACAACTAATGCACTTCTCGACAGAGGAAAAAATCAAAGCAACACAGCTAAGGGCAGTTTCAGGAGCCAGGCATACATTCCAAGATGTCACAACATTTGTGAAAAAGTGCAATAGCACTGAGGAGACAAAAACTTGAATATATTTCATTTGCGGGAGAGAACTGAAGAGGAAAAGCAGGTTGTCTCAGAATTTCCTCCCATCAAGAAAAGAAATACCACACCTCTCCAAAACCCTTAGAAAAGCAAAATCACAGGGAATCTTGTCTATGAGTAAAGAAACAAGAGAGGATACCAGACTACAGCAGAGGTCAGCAGAAGGCAATAGTGTTGGAATACCTGTTTGGACAGAGTACTCCAAGGGTGTTACTCCATGTGAGGAGCTCAGGCAACAGTATTCCACTTCACACAGAAACAAACAGATGCACTGAGATTTCTGCCTTTTGACTCCCTTACCAGGGTAACTATTATTTCTAAGTTAATAGAAACTCTTCAGAAAGTTTGGTATTCTAACATTTAAATTTTAAAAATGCAACTAAATATTATTTAAGTAACTAAGGCAAATAAACGGTCACAGAAATTAGAAAAAGGTATTATTCATTAAAAGTAGCCCCTGAAATAAACTTGAATTCATTTGATATTTGTTAATTTCAAGACAATGAAACCTTAATGGCTTTACTAAAGCAGCAGCCCATCACCTGTAATAGTAAAGTGATGGATACAGTAACAGATACTTTTACATCACTATACATAGAGCTGTTAGCACATTAATAACCGTCTTTCATCAGGCACAAAACTCAAGAGTTACAAAATACAGCTGCAATAGCACAATTATACTGCTCTCTGCACATACCCTGAAGCAAAGAAAACAAATGAGCTGCTTTTCATTCAGGAAGTTAGGCAAACATCTCTAAAGACAATGTTTTCTTTCTAGAAACAATCCCGAGAGGCGTTTCAGAGTCTCTTTCCTGAGGTAAACCTGGTACACAAATATATATTTATACTACGAAATACAAATAGCAGTTTTCTAGTACGTAGCACCTCTTAATTTTTCAATAAAACAATCTATGTCTAAGTCAAATATTAACTTGCATTAGTTTCTTGTTTTAAAGTGGAACACTAATCCTACATTCAAATATCCCCAGTTTAATTTGTATGAGCAAGATTTTGTCATTTATGGATGATAAAAGACAAAAATTATTCGCAAGCATCAAATTCAAAATTTCCATTTAAAAAAGACCCCTTTTGTAGTATCAGGCAGGGAAAAATAGTCTAAAACAATAACTTCCAATTAATTGTAGAGGTAGGCATATTGAAATATTTTATATATTGAAATATTTCTATATTTTAATCCAGTATATATCTGGATTTTATATTTTAATGCATAAATTCAACAACAGACATGGCATCTCTATTGGGTATATTTTTAGACCAAAAGTTTCTCTATAAGAAACTACACTACTTTAGATCAGCTATAGCTATCTAGCATACTTCATTAAAAAATAATACCTCATAATCTCAATGTAAAATTAGTTTGCAGCTCCTTTTTAATATATAGTTACTCTGGCATGAACATATGATATGACTGGCAGGGATCAATTCCCTAACCATAATCACCTGTTGTTATTCCACACCCAGGTGTATCAAGAGGTGAGACGGGACTCACCACACCCTTCAGAAGTGACAAGCAGAGATCACCCTAGTAATGCAACTGAAGTAGCAGCAGACATCTATTCTCATAGGCAACACAATCTCACCTGATGCAACCACCAGATTTTGATTTAATCATCTTAGCAATCATTTAATGTAAACAATCAGAAACTAATCACTGGGGACAAGAGATTGTAGAGAAGACTTGGGTACAGAAAATAACCCCACACTCCAGAGACCGAAAGAAAAAAAACCTGATACTAAAAGCCAGTCTTACTCCCAAACGGCTGTTTTCTGAAAGAATTACATAAAATCCTATAGTTTTAAAATATCTCCTGATCAGCATAATTTATCAGTATACATATCAGTGCAAAACCAGGAAATCACACCTTTCAGTGCAGGAGGTGAGAACTATAATTGGTCAAGATTTTCGTAACAGAGACTGCATCCTAAACACACTACAATACTCCCAACCATTTTTACAGTTACTTTTTTCTTCAAGGGGTTGCTTGCTACATGTGTGGGTTCAATATAGATGGTATTTCTTTATCACAGATTCCAATTTAATTTCAAATTTAAATCATGGTGAAATGTTTCACAGGAGGAAGTTCAAAAGGTACAAAGCATCCCCGGATGTCCCTCCTCCTCCATCACAAGGGTACACCAAAGCAGGTGCATTTTCTTTCCAAGTTCCTCTCCAAGGTGTCCAAATATTATTATACATCTTGAAACATCCTATGTGTTGTTCAAATAGTCAAACTTTTAGACACAAAAGAGCATGAAGAATAAATACACAGTAAAAATACAGGCTACCTACACAAATTATTTTGGATCAAAGCAAAGATAAAAACATCCTCAGAAACCTTTTAACATCAGGAAGGTGAGAGAAGAGCCCACCAGCACAGCTAGTCAGAAGGACATTAAACAGAAAACCTGTATTTAAATGAAAAGACAGAACAGGGATAAAAGTGTCAGAAAATATATGGAAAAAATATCAACATATGCTTTCTACACCCTTGTATGATCTCTTACTGGTTATCACTGGGAAGACATATATATCTACATACTCCTTACCTTTAACATAGTGAATTCATATGGCTGATAACCTTTGAAACTTTCATGGATGGCTGCCATTGTGTGTGAAGTTTTTTCCCAAAAATGAAGCAGTGTTGTCTGTAAGACAGGGTAAAATTTCAGTGCCAATGTTAACACAAATCTGTTTTCAGTGCAAATTTCACATCTTCCCTCCAACACTAGTTACATATTCTTATGGTTGAATATTGCCATGGTAACCTCTTAAAAAGCCACATTAACAGGAAAACATTTTTTCAGAGGTCAGCATTTTCCTTAGATACCTGATATGTTGTTAACACATGAGAAAGGAGGTTGCATCTACTGGCTCCCAGAAGATCCACTTTTTGACAGACATCAGTCTTCAGTTTGTCAAAGTTGAGTTTTGCATGTCGCACTTGTGCTTGAACCTTCAGATAAAGGGACAATTGTTTATGTAGTGATCTTTTTCTCTATTTTTAAGGAAAGAGCAAACTAATACAACCTCTAGGGAAATCAGACAACTGAACAGACCCAATTACAATTTTGTTTTCGTCAATCCCACTGAAATGAAGATAAACTAGCTGATAAATGGTATTCTTGTTATCTTCTTTGTTATTGCTTTTTGCAATGTATCCAGTGAAGAATTTTTGTTTTCTAACCCTGGTTTTGTATGATGGATATTAGTATAAAACATACACTGAGAACAACTGGAAAAGATACTCATATTGGCATCTCTTTCAAGAAAGACAAATTCAAAGCCCAACCAACAAATTTTGAGCTAAAATTTATGACCTAATATATAGGTGTACAGTCACAGACATTTCCATGTACCTATAGCAAGAGACAAATTACTCTGACAAAGTTTAAAGTCTGTCTGCAATGATACAGCACTTCAATATCTTTGCATCACTAGAAAAATTTCACTCATTAAAATTCTCCTTGTAAAATGGGACTGCCTTTTCTGTTTACTGCTATCAGAAAAATATCAAGTCCCCTTTTCCTAGGACCTAACAATTTCAGTTTCAAGGGGTTCTAGTTTTTCAAATTATTTTTCTATCACCTATTAAGTACATATACATGTACATTAAGTACACATCTCCTATAACTCTTTCATGGTTAAAATAAAGTATTTACCCAAAAAATGAAAACAAACTACTGAAGTAAATCATACATTTCTTTCCTTTCCTGGTCTAACTTGGAGAGTAAACCCATTTTGTCCAGAATACCCAAACTCAAAGATTTGTCAAACTTGAATGCCCCTGATCTTCAGAAGTGAATCTTGAACTCTGCAGCAAGAACAAATACAGACATCTCATAATACAATCTGAAATGTTTACTGTACTTCTGCCCTTATTTTCCCAAACTCAGAGTACACAAGACCTACAACGATGCAGAAAACCAGCCAAAAATCAATATCACAAATTCATCAGATGACCTACTCATACAAATTGTAGAACTCCTGGATTGCTGGACACATGGCAACTTTGTTTTAGTGATCAGATCAGTTCTGCTTAAGCAATGCTGCACATCAGCCTAATCTCTTCATAAGGAAGAAACTTCCACAATTCAAAATCTGTCATAAATTCAGAATCTTACAGATGAGATTTAGAAAAAGATTATTCCAAATGAAAAAAAAACCACCAAAATACCCAAACACTTCTCCTTTTTTTTTAGTAAAGGGCAGTGCTAGTCTACCTTTACAAATAGCTCTGTGGTTTGTGCATTCATCCTGGAGAGGAAGTTTTCCAGGATAACTCCACCAAATCACCAGTGAACAAATCTTGAGTTTTAGTATTAACAAAGACAGCTGAAAAGTCTTGACTGGATCCACTGCTCTAAGCACAAGTAAAACATCCTACTGATGACTTGCTTGTCTTCACATATTGAAGAGTTAAAAAAAAAAACCCAGAGGTATCTCCAGAAGATAAAAGACTTCTTAAGTAGTAAGGAGATGTTTCAGTGAAGTAGAGACAGATTTGAATTTCCTCAGGAAGGAGAAAATGGCTCCAATGGCTTCCACTTCTCAGTCAAGCATGACAAATGCTAAGCTATGATATAAAGCAAGGAGCAGCTACTGCCAAGATATTTACTATAAGGTATGGAATGTCATGAAAAGCTCTATCCAGTCAGAGTTACACTGCTATGAGCTGAGGCTGCTTCAAAGTTTGGGGTTTCCAAGGACCTGCTACACTTTTAGCTTGTGCCTGATGGAAGCCCAAGCAAGGCACCATCCTATGCATGCCAGGAGTGCCATCCAAAGCACATCTGTCTAGTCCAAACAACATGTGGGTAAAGAGTTTACGAACCTCCAAAACTGAGCAGTAGTGGAGGAAGATAGGAGCAATAGCAGAAGTGTAAAAACTTTATGCAGTGCTGGATGAAGACATTTGACCTGTGTAAGGTCCTCAAATTCTTCATTTGCTTTAGTTGCAAGTGCTTGAGAACACAGTTACAACTTCAGTGTGAAAAGGAGAGTTGTGAAGAAAACCATGCACCTGTACAAAAAGGAACTCCTAACTGAAATCCAAATATGGGCTTATGTGCATCTTTTGCCACAAAGAATTGCTGCAACTGGTAGGGATTTAAGTAAGAGATGTTGTAGGGCTTTGAAAAAAAGAATCTCAGTTACAGCCATGAAAATCCAGAGAAATTCAACTGATGCAAATGTGTCACATATATAACTACATTTTACAATGGTGCAGCTGAGAACAGAATCCCTTTCCTACTTGGTATATCACAGCACTGGTGAAAGCTGTTCTGTAAGAACAGCTGTGGCTTTGTAGACTGAAAGTCCAAGTAAGCAAAGAATGTGAATTCTGGGAACTATAAATGCTCTGCCAGTGATAGTGAGCCACAATATTTAAAAAAATAAGTACTACTAAATGGAATTATGAATTCCTACTCCAAATCCTTAAAAAAGGAGAAAAAAAAAATCCATAAAACAAAAGCACCTGCATAGTTTGAGCTTTAGTCTTCCTGCATATATTCTTCAGGGACATTTAGAAAAGAACAAGGTCGGCATTTATCTTAACTGAACATATAATTATTGTCTCTTTTAAAAACTAAAGCATTCATAAAGAGAAAGAGGTGATCCACAACACAATGTGGAATACAAACCCTTATATTTACCATGCTCATACAGATAATTCAACATACTTAATGCTGTGTTACCAAATGCTACACATTTCTCTTGCCAACCAGCAAAGATGCAATATTATGAAAACTAATATAACACGCTTTTAGGTTTTTTGATCTATTGAAAGTTTATTGAGCAGAAGTATTCTTTTTTCAGCAGCAGTGCAGGACAACTAAGAAAGAACACCACACACTACGTCAGCATGACCTTTTGCTTTTTATGTGTGCCAATAAATGCATTTTCAATTGAAATTATTATTATTAGACATCTTTTAAGATTACTTGTTGGCTTCAGGAATTGGGTATTAAACATTAGTGCTTACAAAGCATAATCTATTTAATACCACACAAGTTATCAGAATGAACCTTTGGTTCTCTGCTCAGGGGAAAGCTGATATAATACATACTAATCTTCTCCTTTCTCTGCAATTACTCTTTAAGACATGAGAAACAGAACCTCATTGTGGTCTCAGTACTGCAAATTTTTATTCATAGATTTAAATTTATTAAAGCTGAACATACAAAATTTATTGAAAATCCTGATCTGAAAACTGTCAGGATTTTACTCACCCTAGGAGAACTGCCTTGGTCCAAACACAACCTGAACATTTTATGATAAACAAGCTTCTAAGCATCTGCCACCATAGGTGCTAGATGTGAGATTGATATCATACAAGAAAATCTTACAGTACTCTTGACATAAAAAATATTATTACTATTTTTATTTTTCTAAGCAGCAACCTGCCTTTAATTTCCCAATGCAAACACCTAAGTACAATATTCATAAAGAGCACACAAGAAAACATTAATTTGGAAAGTAGTATCTTATTCAATCAACAGCCATTTCAAAGGACTGAAATGCTACAGTCCTAAATCCTGGGGGCTCAACAGTCAGATTTTAGAATGCTTGATTTTAAGGGCAAATATTTGGTAACAGTTTCCTAAACACTATCCCAAAATGGATCAGGTTGGAAGGGACCACAGTAGATCCTCTGGTTCAACCTCTCTGCTCAAGCACATCCATCCCAGAGCACACAGCACTGGATTGTGTCCAGACAGCTCTTGAATATCCCCAGTGACAGAGATTTCACTGCCTCTCTGGGCAACCTGTTCCAGTTCATGGCCACCTGCACAGTGAAGCTCTTCTTCCTCATGTTCAGGTGGATTTCCTGTGCATCAGTTTCTGCCCAGTCCCTTTTGTCCTGTTGCCTGGCATCACTGAGAAGAACCTGGTCCATCCTTCTGCCACCCTCCTTTCAAATACTTAGAGACACTGTAAACAGGTCCTTTCTCAGTCACCTCTTCAAGAGTCTGAACAGGCCCAGGTCCCTCAGCCTTTCCTCATAAGAGAGATGCTCTAGTCCCTAAATCATCTTTGTCACCCTCCACTGGACCTAGTTCAGGAGAACTGAACTGAACCCATGTCTCTTTTTCACTGAGGAGCCTGGAACTGGACACAGCACTCTAGGTGTGGTCTCACTAGTGCAGAGCAGAGTGGCAGGATCATCTCTCTCAACCTGTTGTCAATGCTCTTCCTAGTGAACACCAGCATATCACTGGCCTTCTTGGTCACAAGGGCATTGCTGGCTCATGGACAGCTTGTTATCCACCAGTACCCCCAGGTCCTTTGCCACAAAGCTGCTTTCCATCACGTATGGTGAAAATCGTTATTCAAACAGAAAAGTTCTAACCTTCAAGCATGCTCACATTTAAAAAAAAAATCCTTAGACCCGTTAAAAAACTCTATTCAATATGTTGAGTTACTAAAATACAGATTGGCCATGTACTTTCAAGGAGTCTTTATGCTGTCTACAGTATATCTGTGTTACTACTTTCTTTCAGTGTCCTATAAAATTCAAAATGTATTTTCAGTAGTAGCCTAATTTCAGGCACAATTCAGCTAGTGAAGCATCATCTCCAAAATTATGTTGGATAAATGTACTAACTCACTTTACATACAGTATATTTTTGTCTCAGCACTTCCAGCATAGAAGGAGAAACAGATGCTTTTAGTCTAATTTGTCACCCAGCCTCTCACTTACTCAATCTGAAAAGCATGCACAGTGTATGTATAGGCTGGAAGGAGGGGATAAGCAAATTGAAGGGGGAAAACGCCTGGCACATAACAAAATTTCCTGCTCAAGGCTCTCAGTAAACTCTACTCAGCGCAAATCTTTGCATTAAGTAAGTAAAGCACCTTCTAGCATACCTGATCATTGTAAAGACTACATGAAAATGAAATCAAACTGTAGTTTGAGGATCAAGTATTTACCACAGAGTGCAACTTACAGCA